GTGATTTTTTCCTCCATTATCTCCCCCTTCTCTCGTTCCCCGAGATTCCTGGTTCAAGTCCTGGCAGCTGTCTCTTTTTTTTAGCATCCTTTTTCCCTTCCAGGACCCAATCCCTGATATTTATAATGACTTTTTCTGATTAAATAATTTTTCTGATGGATCTGTCATCCCCCTGCTCTTTTCTGTGCTCATTTTTCCTCCATCATTTCCYCCTTCTGGATTTCAGGTTCGAGTCCTGGCAGCTGTCTCTTTTCTTTTAGCATCCTTTTCCCCTTCCAGGACCCAATCCCTGATGATTATAATGGCATTTTCTAAGGAAATTATTTTTCTGACGGTGACATCCCCATTTTCCCTTTTCTGGGTATTTCTCCTCCACCATTTCCCCCTTTTGGATTCCTGCTTTGAGTCCTGGCAGGTGTCTCTTTTATTTCAGCATCCTTTTCCCCTTCCAGGACCCAATCTGTGGCATTTTAAATCATTTTTCTGATGGATTTGACATCCCTGTTCTCCTTTTTCTGTGATTTTTTCCTCCATCATCTCTCCCCCTTTTGGATTTCAGGTTCGAGTCCCGGCAGAGATGATCTCCAGGCAGGTGGCACTTTTCTTTCTGCCTTCTTTTGCCCTTCCAGGACCCAATCCCTGATATTTTTAATCATTTTTTCTAAGGAAATGATTTTTCTGRTGAATGTGACATCCCTCAGTTCATTTCTCCTCCACCATTTCCCCCTTTTGGATTCCTGCTTTGAGTCCTGGCAGGTTTCTCTTTTCTTTTAGCATCCTTTTCCCTTCCAGGACCCAATCCCTGTCATTTTTAATCATTTTTTTTGGCTCTCACATCCCCATTTTTCTTTTCTCCGCGATTTTTTTCCTCCATCATCTCCCCCTTCCCTCGTTCCCCGAGATTCCAGGTTGAAGTCCCGAAATTTTTTTTTGTTTTTTGGAAAACCAGTTCATTTCAGTAAAAACCAGTTCTATATCCAATAAAAACCAGTTCATTCCAGTCAAAACCAGTTCATGTCCAGTAAAAACCAGTTCATTCCAGTGAAAACCAGTTCAACTCCAGTGGAAAACCAGTTAGTGTCCAGTAAAAACCAGTTCATTCCAGTCTAAACCAGTTCAACTCCAATAAAAGCCAATTCAACTCCAGTCAAAACCAGTTCAACTCCGGTAAAAACCAGTTCAACCGGTTTTAAGGGGTCCCGCTCGGTTTTAGGGCGGT